AAAACCTTTTAATTACCGCACAAGACGTTCATTGAAAAAAAAAAAAAAAGTCTGCTGAATCAATAATACTGCCTCCACTATTTAATATGAGAGCTAGTTGCAGATTTAATTCAATCCTAAATATAATATCTAATCTATCATGTCTCTAATATTTATTCATTTTGTTCCCAAGTGACTTTCACAGTGATTACACATGTTAAGGTGTCTCATCAAGAAGAAGTTCCAATATATATGATTATTACATCTATTTATTACAAAAAATTAACTTAACTACTTTTATTCATATTCATAGATTAATTATCTATTTTTTATATTACGTATTCGAGGTAGTATTTCTCAACTGTTTATATAACAATTGATACTTTCAAAGTCTCATCTCCATGTAGTACTTATATATCTTGCTCTCTTGCATTTAAAACTGACGGGAGATCGACCTCTCATTTTTCCTTCCTATCATTTTTCTTTTTCCTTCATTTCCAACCATTAAATTGATATAGCCTATAATTTGAAAGAACGAGGTAAATTCTTGTTTTCCCCAATTTTATCATTGCTGGAAAAATAAATCAATATATTATATAGGATTTTAATTTAAAAGTGCAGTCTTAAAAATTATTATAATTTGTTGATAAATTTAACGAGTTAACTTCTATTTAACGTTCCTCCTTACTCTATATTATTTCCAATCTTTAATATAAGAGCTAATTAACTCATTTAAATAAATTAAAATATTAATTAAGTTAATTATATGTAATAAGTATATGTTGTTTTTCCTAAAATATCTTTACTAATTAATTATCATTTGATGAAACATTTAATATATATAACTACTACAAAAATTATCTTTAAAAAAATGAATAAATATGAGAGACAAAGTGAATTTGGGTCTTATATTTAGAATCAAATTGAATATTAAACAAGTTCTTGTATTAAGAATCGGAGGCAGTATAAGTGACACAAACAAAATTTATATTTTTCAAATAGACTTTTAAATATTTTTTTAAATAAAAGAAGAGAAAATTAGTTAAAAAGTCTCTCTTTGACAAATTAGTTAAGGAATGGGACTTGCAATAAATGTAAAGGTGTGAACCCCTCAAATGTGTGGTAGGAAAAAGACCTTATTGTCTTGACAGATGCTAATTGCATATGACAGATCCTTATTTATATATCATATATTCTAATTGCATATGATGGAGTTGCATCTGGTGTCTTGTTGCATATCACTGATCCTGATTGCATGTCATTAATCCAAACTTGCATATTGATTATTTTAATTATATATTGTGGATACCTAGTTGCATATGATATCTTATTGCATATCATAGATCTTAATTGCATATGATTGATCCAACTAGGTATCTACATATGTAATTAGAATCACTGATCTACAACTTCAAATAAATTATACGCAATTAGGATCTGTGTTATGCAATGAGATACCATGTGTAACTAGATATCCATGATATACAATTAGAATCATCGATATACAAGTTTGGATCAATAATATATAATTAGGATTAATGATATGTAATAAGATATCATATGCAACTATCATCCACAATATCTAATTAGAATCCATCATATACAAGTGAGAATCTATCATATATAATTAGAATTTGTAATATGCAATAAGATTTCATATACAATTAGATATATACCATATGCAATTAGGATCCATGATATGTAAACGATGATTTGTCATATGCAATTAGCATCCGCTAGGATGACATGGTATTTTTCTTATCACACTTATTGATATTTGAGGGGTCTACACCTTTAAATTTATTGTAGGTCTCATTTCTCAATTAATTTGTTAAAAAAGGAGATTTTAACCAAATTTTCCGCAAAAAAAAAAAAAGATTCAAGTCATGTCAGTGATTTACATAAGAGGTGTCTTTAGGTAATATTCCACTCAATTTTCCCAGATGGTGGAGACACATCGTAGTACCCAACTTATGGAGACAAAGCTTGCCCAGCTAAACGGCTTGCCGCATGATTAGCATTTCCGAAGGAGCATATGTATACCCCAACTGATCAGTTTGACAGTTTTCCACTCCTTTCCCAGCTATTATTATTTAAACTTTTAAATGGTAGCAAATGGCAATCTCATCATGGCACACGGTATTACGTATTTGCGCGCACAGAACCTACGTTGTGGGCGATGAAAATTGTTAATGTTTAAATTTGATGTAAAAGTTATTATCAAAATCTCTCTCTCTCTATATATATTCATACTTGCACACTCCTTGTAGTCCTATTTATAAGTTTCAAATTTAAAGAGAAACATAGTTCATTTTATAAGCTTCAGTCTGGGATTTATCCAAACATTTAATGTCTTTTTTTCAATTTTGCCCTTAATTATTTATTCTCTCTCATTTGCGATACACTTTTATCACATTTTCCCATATATTTTCTTTCATCATTTTTCTCATTTATTATAAGAAGATATTTACAAACAAAACTATATTTCTAATCTATTTATTGCTCTTTACTAATTTTACTTAATTATTTATCATCCATGAATCAGTTATTTTAAACTTATAATAAGGACTATAAAAAAAGAGTAAAATACTTTGACCTCCCTTACATTTTGTTCTAATTATACCGACCTTCCTTCTATTTTGAAAACACACACTTAAATTCAAACTGTTAATCTCGTTAAGAATATTCTAACAAGTTTTTTTAATTAAAATTTTTATTAAGATACTTTTTATTTACTAATGTACTATTCATAATGCTAAATACCTAAATTTTGGTTAAAAAGTTTTGATAACTTTAAAATTTTTTCTTTTCCCTTAATTTTATTTTTTATTTTTACAAATAGTTATTTGTTCAGTGTTTTTATCATATTGGAATGAAAAATTAATCAATTTATTTAATGTAGACATAAAAACCTTGAATGAAAATTTGATTAATTCTTTAAATAAATATATAATAGACTAAATATATAACAAAATTTTTATTTTAAAATTTTAAATTTTAAATATAAATGATTTCTATAGCCTTTCAAATTTAGACAATTTATATTATATGATAAAAAAAATTTTATTGAATATATTTTCTAATCATTTAAATAAATAAGTTTCATTATGTAGTGAAAAATTAAATTTATAAAATTTTATGATATAATCAAAATTAATAAATTTTATTGCATATCAAAAATTTAAAAATACATGTATTAAAATTATTTTCGGTTGTATCAAAATTATTTTTTGACAAATATAAATGTTTAATAACTTAACCATTACTCGGATGAAAATAAAATCTCAAATATACAATAAAAGTTTGTATAGCATGCGTTTTAATTTTGAGAGAGATTTATATAAATTTTTAAAATAAAAAAGAGATTTTTATAGTTTAGATAAAATAGAGTGGTGGTTAGAATATTTTACTCTAAATATGCACAAGTCACATTATTATTCCTCAATTCATTATTTAGAAAATCACACCAAATCAGTCAATTCAATCAGGAACCATCACATGTTTGATTCAGTTATATGCGAAACGGAAATGTAATACAAGTGAGAACTAGAAAATGAGCGGGAATAAGTTTTGAAGTGTATCTAGCATATCAAAACAAAATTAATGCAGTCTTTTAATTTTTGTCTAGAGGGTACCAATTTAATTGTGTTGCCAAATGGTGGCCTTGAATATTCACCCAGAGACCATGTATTAAGGGTTTGTTTGATGTGAGAAAAAGATAATTAATCTCCAGATTCTTATAGTTTCATCTGATTTTTAATCAAATTCTTATAAATTTTTTTATCATACTTTTTTATTTTCACGTGTTTTTAATTAGGTCCTTTTTTTTTTCTTTTTATCGATCCTTATAGTTTTACTTATTTTTTAATTAGGTCTTTTGTAGTTTTAAAAAAATTATTTATTAACTTTGCTCTTTAAAATTAATTTTATTTTTAAATGAATAATTATATAATTGGACAAAATAGTTAATACTACTATAATCAAGTAGTATATCAATCTTCCGTAGCTTCTCCATCATCTCTCCTGATTCCTCAGTTAAAGCGCCGGAGCCATCATCAAAATCTAGATTAAACTCTTCTTTAGCATTATAAGATATTGGGGCTTTACCACCTCCATTTCCCCATCATCTCTTTGTTTGATATCACCCTTGTCTTCCATGTTCACGTCCTGCTTCTTCTGTGTCTTCACTAAGCTTCTTGACTCCCCTCTGGCTTTGGCCAGGACACTCGTACTCGTACTCGTATCTAGGAGTGTTCACGGGACAGGATAGGACTTTTGTCCCATGTCCCGTCCCATTCCGGTCTTGTCAGGACTGGAACAGGACCGGGACGTCCCGCTTCTTTTTTTAAAAAAAAAAATATAATTTTTTATATGAATTTTTTATAATGTTTATTTTTTATTAGGCTTCTAAAGATAAAATATTATTAAAAAATATTATGTAAAAAGTTTAATTATATAGTATAAAAAAAGTGTAAAACCAATACTGTAAAAAAAACCGTAAAAGAAACACTATATAATGGCTTTGTGAATTATTTTATTAGGGAAGGACATTTTGTTAAGATAATACTACAATTTTAAGAGCTAAAAATCACTATAAAAATTATTATTATTATTAATAAGTAAATTAAATAATCTAATTGTAATTATTAATAAATAATTTTTTTTAAAAAAACCCAAGATGGGATAGAACGACCCCATCTAGCGTCCTGCTTGATCTCGGTTACTATCTCATCCCATCCCGAACTCATCGGGACTGAGATGGGACAAATTGAACACCCTACTCGCGCCTGCGCCTCTCCCACACTCCGGCATCTCCATCACCACCAAGATTGACTCTCTTTTTTTTTCCCCGGTAAGAAGATTGATTGATTCCCTTTTCATAGAACGGTGAATATGTTTATTTCATATCTAACCACTCCGCGCCCGCTTAATCTCTTACTCTCATTTTTCTATTCCATTTTCATGAAAATAAACCACAAACCAAACAAGCTCTGACAAACAAACCTTCCAAAGCCATGGTGTTTAAAAACTAAAATATCAGACTCCAATTAACAAATATAGGAAAAAATACATTAAATGCCCGACAAACAAATAAATACGATCAATCTTGTTCTACTTCAATCAAACAGTATTTTTATCAGCTCAAAAGTCTCAGCGGGCTACAAACCAGAAACAAAGCATATATAAATCGGTTTTACATAGACACACACACACACAAATATCACAAGCCTCAGCCGGTTGAGGAACCAACTGACCTCCAAAGCTTGACCCAGTCTTCCATGGCTTGGGCGGAACGCAAAAACAGAGGATCTACCTGACCCAGTTTCTCCTTCACTATCTTCGCCATCTCCGCCACACAAGCCTCTGGTGTACTAGCCGACTGTGGCAACCTCAATGACTGAAAGAAAGGAACGATGTCCTCCATCAGTTTCACCCCTTGCCACTCTTTCTTGAGGCTCTCTATGGCACTCCCTCTTTGCGTTCTATAAACATAGGGCAGCCCTGTTTTCACACCCAGACCTAAATGATCACATATCACTTTTACACACATTCCAGACCATATATCTTCAATTGTTTCCCACCTCAACTTTCCTTCCTCGGTCAACTTCAAGGCAGGTACTAATGCAGGGCCAACTACTTCACGGTTAAAAGCAATGTTGATTCCGCTAACAGGCATCATAGTTCTCACAGGAACAGTCATAACTGCATCGACATATCGCAAGTTCCTCACTCCTGGCTTGAGTGCTTGTGTTGGTGCATCAAAGTCTGCCTGATTGAGCCACACGCCACATGACAGGACACAATCAACCCCACTCCGCAAGCTAAATGGATAACCACGAACAAAATCTGCACCCTTACGGAAAGGATCATAGAGTGTATTAAAGAAGAAAGGGGTCGCAGGGGTCTTGAGGTTAAATAGATGCTCGGTCACAGCATCTACCACATTTCCCATATTGTCCCTTGCTGGAATGCAATCATCATCAACACATACAATATACTTCCTTCGTGAAACTAGATAACCAAAATACCTGCAAGAGTAGCCAGAGAACAGGCCAGCAGTGGAGGAACCCACAACTCGCTCAATATCAGACTTTGAATAGACATCTAACTCAAAGCCTTCAGGAATTTGAAGGTCCTCCTTGAGATCAGGATCTTTGACAATTATCAAGTGGAAGCGAGAGAAAAATGGCCTCCATTCATTCATAAAAAATCTCAGGTCAGAGTGCAGTGCACCAATCACTATGTCCACTTCACTCTCGTTGATATTTGCTTGAGACATATTTAGGTCATACAAATTTGCTGCATAAACCAAATTTGTTTTTGCCTTCTCAAAGCCGACAAGTTGAGTTAAACTAGCTATCTGGTGCTGAAACTACACAAACCTACCTCAAAATTTTTCAGAACATCCTGTTAAACGAGATTCTTCAAAGGTCAGGAAAACAATTTTTTCCATTGGGAGAAAATATTCACAATTTTTGAGAAATTTTGAAACAACTCACTGGTAGGCAGCACAGGGGTCACAATATGCTGGACGTTGAGTGCCTGAATAAATGCGATGACTTCCTCCTTACCAGTTGCCACGAAAAGTCTCAGAACTTTCTCAGTCAGCTTTCCAGCCTTCAATATTCTCTGCCCACGAAAATAATATAAAGGAATGAGGATGCCAGCAACAACAGAATAAAACTTAAGGTTAGAGTGAACAGATACATTTGAAGGAAGTAAAACACATGAAACACGCCAACTGAGCCGGTGAGTTAAGGTAAAAGTAGTGAATTGGGTTGAAACCCTCCAGATGCAACTAGGAAAAAAAGATAAGAGGAAACAGATGGTAGTTCTAGTAGATGGTGCATAATATGAACCATCACCGACTTAAATAGTAGAGTCCTTAATGCCTATTATCAAGTTAACCTCGTTGCTATAGGAACAAGAAAAGAAAATTGAAAATTTGATGGCCTAATAAAACAGATGGCAAGCAAAAACCGATACATGGAATCTCCATCTCTCCAACATAATTACTAAATTCCCATATCTTGACAATTTCAAATATGAAGACAGATCAATAATTGGAGTCAAAGAGCCATCAACTTAGCAACGCCATAACAAGTACTAAAGATCAATGGTGGGAAAAAACTTGAAATTGAAATTAGTTCCATCAGTCTACACAAGTCATCCATAGGGTGAATTGTCGAAATTATTGACGAAGCTAGATCTTCAAAAAATGTTGGGATAAGCAAGAAAACACCTACCTCTATAATTCTGGTAACCTACGAAGAAATCAGCAAAAGAGTGAGGTTAAAAACTTTCTTCTTTTCTTTTTCTTTTTAATCTGAGAATAAACAACCTGGCCAAACATGAGTCTAGAATTAAGCTGTAAAAGACGTAATCATGGTTACAGCCATATTATCATGGCAACGGTTTGTTTGTTATATAAGATACTCAACTTCCTCCTGGTTGGCTGGTTGAAGATCAAGACCCAAGAAGCAGCTTAAGAAAACAACACCAACAACCTCAATTGTTGTCATGCAAATTCGCTATAAGATATGCTCAGCATGTTGTTAATAAATTGCACAATCATCACGAGTTTCATCCCGCAAACGAAAATATTTGAATATTTTAAAAACAAGTTATACCTTTTCAACGAGATTTTATGAAATATATGGGAGATTTTTTTATGGCTGAAGTCCTTTGAGATCAGGAAAATGATGACAGAAGCTACTGATATTCACGAGAAGTAAGACAGAATGCAAATATATTCGGCAACATGAAGCATGTAGTTATGATTCGATTCCCCCGATAAACTATCAACTGAATAAAAAGCTTGGCAGAACACCATGTCACAAAATAAAAGAAATCTTAAAATCGAACCATCCTTCAATTCGCACCACCTTCTAATTATCATAAAAGGGTTTCCCCCCACTAGATGATGGAAAATCATAACAAGGTTTTGATGATGCAAGAACAGAAAAGATCCATTAACCTTTAAGTCATTCAAACCAATAATATCTAAGTTAGAGCAAGGAAGATAGGTTAGCGATCCATCGATTGGACTCACATCCAAAATGATGGAAAGAAAACAAAAATAGAACAATACCGGTTAATCTAGCCAGAAAACACGTATGCCTTAAAATTCGTTGATTGGACGCTTTACAATCAATGGCAGGCTAGTGGGAAAAAAATCGGTCGAAAATTATATGGCAGAAGAGAACGATGCCAAAGTGACTACCGCCAAGAAAAAATTGACAGACAGAGATAAAGAAAATAGCAACAGAAGAGAAAGGAAGATACCAGGAAGAGGTCGAGGAGGATGTGGTCAGGGATAGGGGTAAGATCGGGTATGTCGGATAGATTAAGGAGTGCTGAGTCAAGGGTGAGAGAAAGGAGGGAAGGGGGGGTTTTCATTCAATCGAAAATCATTATCATAAATATACGACACTATCACCGCAGGAATTAAGACGCCTGAATTCCGAACTCGACTCGCAGATTGCTGCCTCCACGCCCTTTTTGCTTCGTCCTCACAATTGCTTCTGTACACGTATTCTCCCACTCCGGCCAGGGCCTGCCCCTGAGTACTTGGGCCTCCAAGGGAAAATGACCTTTTTTTTTTGTTGCCATAAATGGCAAATGACATTTGAGGGCGTTGTTCGTCTTTGCCAACTTTGAGGAGAAATCACAAAAACATCCTAAAAGTTGTCGTGAAATTCTCACGGGTCTCTACTTTGTTTTTTAAATTTTAAAGTCTTCAATTGTGATTTTCCCTAACTTTACATCCTTGTCTACATATTTTCCATATTAAATAAAATTTATTATTAAAGACATTAAAACGAGGCGAAAAGATCAGACATGAATAATTAACAAAATTAAAAATTTTGGTTTCTTTCTAAATCTCCAAGGAATTTAGTGCTCTCATGGGGTCTGTGAATGTCAATTGCCCATCGTTTAACCTTCTCCTCTATCTATTTTGTTCTGGCAAAAAAAAAAAAAATCAATTTGTATTAAAGCATTTACTTTGTTTATTAGAGCATTTTGCATATTGCTTATATTTTATAGTAATGGTTCCTACATTATAGTACATCTGATCTTTAATATAAGACTAATTAACTAATTTAAATAGACTAAATAAATTTATTAAATTACTTATTTATAATAAATATGTATTATTTTTCTTAAAATACTTTTACTAATAATATGTATTAACTTTACTACATGCCGTTGTTATAAAGACTAAGAATAAAATGGATTTAGATTTCATATTTACAACTAAATTGAAAAAACTAATTCTCAAACTAAGTTGAATGAAAACATTGTTTCAATCGCTGGCAAAAAGGTTTCATAAATCGCTATTGAGGTGGCAAAGTCACCCATTAAAAACACATACGCAAAAACACAGAAAGGAGACACTTAAAAGAAACTGAACACAACAAAAAAAAAAATGAAGAAGAACAGCGGATAGAATAAAACCCAACATCCATATCACGCTCAATTGTTATTTCTCAAATATTTCCAAACAGGGAACAAGACGAAAAGGCAGATTCAGGGACCCTTGGATTTGACTCCAAGGACGGACATGAGAAAACGAAGGTGGCCACGTATTTCAAGGGAATTGCAGGAAGTGCTGAGCAGAGAGGGTGGCTCAACTCCGGCGAGAACGTACAGCCTCTTTAATTCTTCCATGCACGACGCTTGAGGTGTCCCTTCGTATCCCACTATCACTCGGATGGCATTGATCTCTCTCCACAGCCTCTCCTCATTCGCCGTGACCTGCAGTTTCAACGTCCTCATTCCCTCGCTGTGAAATTTCCATCATCGGTATTTTTCCAAACCTAAAAAAAGAAAAACCACCTCACCTTATTAATACTAGGAGGACTCATAATGTGAGTAGCCGAGGAATATTCAGATCGGACATCCGCAACAGCAGTCACCGCCGGATTGGAAGATTCTGCACAATAATTAATCTCAGATGGATGTAATTGCTAGCGCACTGATTAAACACAGTGCAGGGAAATTACCTTGAGTTTCATCAGCAGTCACTGCACTTGGAACTGGCTTGTGTGAGTCCATGACATCACTGTCATCGATTTGTTTAATATGCTCGCTTTCCTTTTTTCCATCTCCAATTGCAGGGGATGCCTCCTCTTCTCCTCCATCTTCTTTCTCTCCCATTTCAATACCAACACACTCTTTCTGGCCTCGAGCGAGATAAGAAGGTGTAGCAGGCATCGGGAGCAATTTACTCATCAGCTTGCGCGTGCAGGCATGGCTTGCCAAAAAGAGGCCAAAAGGGATGGAAACGGAGATCCCAATTACCGAAGCAACCACGAGAGGCGGAACAACCACCGGGGCAGAAGATGCCAGTAACCCAGCCAGCAGGATCTGCTTCCCCATTCTCACTCCTTTGCTCAACACCCAACGCCGCCCCTTTTCCTCTGCTTCTTCCATCCTATACACTTATCCACTCCTAATCGTACTTACTATCCATTTTCCAACCACCCATAATCCTGACACCTCTCGATCGAATTTTACCCTGGTTTCAATAATTAATGACTGACTAGTTGCGAGGAGCAAGGTACATTTACCTGTTTCGCACAACAAATAAGATCATCCATGCTCGCTTCTCTGCCTCGTCTCAGACCCAAGTACCCCGCCGCGAAGCTCGAGAACCATCTGGATCAGATCCTCGGCATCGTATGGGGGTACCGTGGGAGGGGAGGGAGGGATCCGGGCATCTCTGGGTCATGTGACACGCGTTTGAAACGAAACGGTGACACCTTCTGTTTATGCCAGACTGAACTCCACGTGGCCTTTTCTGCATGCAGCATTGCATTAATGCACAATTTTTAAATAGCTTTAATTGCTAACTGTAAATGTTAAACAAAACAGTCACAATTTACTCAAATATCCATGCACAATTTTTAAATAGCTTCAATTCCTAACTGCAAATGTTAATATCGTCAAACAGTCACAATTTTAGATTTTAAAACAAAAATCATAGCCCATAAAGTGGAGCCATATGGGCTGGACCACCTTTTTTCATTAGGGGCGGGCTTGCAGATGGGAGTGGGATACTGTGGGGGGACAATGGGCTAATGCGCCAGTGGATGTCCATACCTTCACTCGGGAATTAAACTCAGATAAACCCAACCCTGCTGCTCAAAAAAAAAAAAAAACTCAGATAAACCCAAGTACCCAACCCATAGCTCAGGACAAGAGCTAGGTCGTAATTGGCTAGCTCAGGACATTGCCATTCATTCCATGCCTTCTATTGTGAGAGTTTCTATCGGACAACTGTGGTTCATATCAGCATGAGGATCGTTCGGAAAGATGTCGTGGCCGACGGACCCGGCAGCGTTAAGGTGTAATTCCTCACCAAACCAAACTTCTTTCAGATTTCCTTTTTGACTCAACGCGAGTTAGACTTCCTCTTCTTTCTCTGTAGTTTCTTACCTCTTCCCCCATGATTCATTCTCCTCTGTCTCGGGTATAAGCTTGTGCGAAGTATAACTTGCCGTTTTATTCATTAGGGTTCTTATCTGATTTTGAATTTCATCTGTAGATGGTACCGATTGATTCGGATGATCTATGGTTTGCGTATAACCTGATCGCTCCCGGCGACTCTGTCATGGCTGTTACTGTGAGGTACTTCTTTCTCCTTTATTTTATCTGTATCCCTTAAAAGAACGATGTTGTAACTTGGAAGGAACTCCTGTTGTAATGGTAATCGAATTTGAATATCGTGGATCATTTTCAGCTAGTTGAGCTTCCACTTGCCATCTTTGAATTGGTTTTACGACTGATTACAACTAGTTATTGGATAGTTATAACACTGAAATTGAAATCTATAGTTTGAAACATGGTAGTCGGTGTTGTATGCTCAATTTCATAATCTTTCGTGACTGTGATAGGAAGGTTCTTAGAGAAATGGCTTCTGGTGGACGAGAAGCAGAACGTTTGAAGCTGAAATTGGAAATTAAAGTTGAGGAGGTAAAAGACACGTAATTGAGTTCTGTTCAAGATACATTGAAGTTCCTTGTGTCTGACGTTTTTCTTTGTTTTCAGTTGGCAGATTATGACAAAGAAGGGTCAATCTTGCGTGTACGTGGAAAGAACATTATGGAGAACGAACATGTTAAGGTAATGCCGTCCCAAATTTATGAACTGCATGTAGAAACGCAGGCTCAGCCATCAGTGATAAATATAACCTTTCATCTTTATATCTACAGATAGGGGCATTCCATACTTTAGAACTTGAGCTGCAACGGCCCTTTGTGCTCAGGAAGGTGTGGTTCATTTTATTTCTCTCAAGAATATAAGGTTACATCTGGTTTATTTCATGCTAGTTGTGTCTTGCATGTTTAGATGTCTGGCTTGTTTGGCCATATCATTAAGGTGTTCTACTTCAAACATTGAGGGAATGGGTAGCGGAAATGCTTAAAGTTTCACTTTGTCATTCGTAGGATGTTTGGGATTCTTTGGCTCTGGATATGCTGCAACAGGCCTCTGGTATGTTATCAATTTTTTTTTTTTTCTGTTTTTACTACCTTCTCATATTTGGGAATATACATTTAAAATTATTCTTTGGAGCTTGTGTAATTTATGTATACGATACTTGTAATTTTGAATATATTTCAGTATTAATGCAAAGTTCAGATTCTGTCCTGAAATTAAACAAGACATATGGTGTAAAAGTAAAATGCAGAATTACATTCTTTTGTGGTATCTTACGTTTGTGCTTGCACCCATTTAAGTGGGCAAATAAAGGCAAATGGTGGAAAAAAGTTCAATAGAGCTCCCTATATGTTCAAATTCAAATCCATTTAAAGTCAAAAGGCAGGTTATGTCATACAGCTAATTTTGTCAGTTTGGAGCAATAAGTTTTCATGTACATCAGTAATCAATACGGTGAATAAAAATTTCATTCCAATTTTGCAGATCCTGGTGCAAGTGCTGATCTAGCTGTGGTTTTGATGCAAGAAGGGCTAGCGCATATCCTCCTTGTTGGTAGAAGGTACTAGTAACTTTCAACTGAATAGGATTAATTTATCCAATCCCTATATCTTCCCCCTTTGTTGTAGTCCAATGAATCAAATATAAGTTTATGCGAGACATGAACAAGTTGATAATAAAGGCCAGTCTTTGACTCTGTCTCAACTGCAATTTTGGACTGCGTGGTCTATAATTTGATGAGGAGAGGATTTGCCAGTTACAGACTTGAGAACATTTTCCAACAAATTAATTCAAGTTATTTTCTTTCAAGTAACAGTAGTTTTTGAGGGTTCTCTGGATACTTTGTGTCTTTCTTTGAAAGAAGGTATTTAAGATTTATAAAAATGTTGATGGATGCTGTGTGAGGCTTGTAGGTGTCTGTTTGGGTTCTGTGGAACTGGAAGCATTGGGAATTAATTGCTTTTGTTGAAACTGTGAACCATTTCTTACATCTAATTTTGCCATTTTATTAAATTACTCATCTTAGTATGACTGACTTGACAGTATGACTGTTAGTCGATCACGGATTGAAACTTCAATTCCTCGTAAGCATGGACCTGCTATTGCTGGTTATGAGTCAGTATGTTCTCTCACTGTCTTTCCTTGATAATCTGTTTGCGTTACTGCAAGTCATATCAGTGAATAAATTCAATAATCACAATATCATGTTATGATTCTAAAGCATCTTCCTGCCATCTGCAGGCTTTGAATAAGTTCTTTGATAAAGTTTTGCATGTAAGTTCTATCTGAGGACTTGAGTGCAATATTTTTTGTTTGTAAAATTTAGTTGTGCCTTCTCAAGTTTATTGGTTACTATAATTGGTTTCAGGCTTTCTTGAAACATGTTGATTTCAGTGTGGTTCGCTGTGCTGTAATTGCAAGTCCTGGATTCACAAAGGTCTATAATCATTCTTGATTTTAGGCTTTTAGCTTCCTTCTTTAGCCATAGCATCGATTTTTTTAATTTTTTATTTTAACTAATGATTGCAATCTCAATCTTAAATGACTTCGCAGTAAATAACAGCTAAGACTGGATATTGGTTCTATATTATGCCTATGTTATATGTCTCTGTTTCAGGATCAGTTTCATCGTCACTTGTTATTAGAAGCAGAAAGAAAACAGTTGCGACCTATTATTGAGAACAAGTCACGTATCATTCTTGTGCATGCAAGCTCTGGATACAAGTATGATTGGTTTTTTAAATTGCATCATCTTTTCATTATTCCGAGTACAAGATGTTGGGAAGTAACCTCTATAAAGTAAAAAATATGAAAATGATCATGGCCATACAGATGCAGCTTATAGTAGAGGTTCCTTAACAACTCTTAATTTTTATGCTGATAATATGTCCTTCTCAACACTTGATCATACGTAAGCATAAATCAAATTTCATATTCTTGAAGCTATCATAAGATACTAATTCTTTGTATTTTCTCACATAACTTAATGGCTGATGATGTGGTAGCTAGAGGAAGGCAGTTTCTATTTTATTAAATGAATGCCTAGGAGGGATGAATAAGGTAGCTATGACAGACTGTTGGAGTTGAGGAGCTATGACAACGTGACTTTATGGTGAACCATGACATAAATCAACATACGCTACGTTGTCAAGGCACTATGATAATCTGGTTCTGATTGTCGATTACATACATGTCTGTCATTTTGCATGAGGAAAAGAAAAATAGTATTGAACATCATTTTGAGGGTTTACTTTTTTGTTTAATTGCTTGTAAGTTCTCTGTAATTCAGCTGATATCTTTGACTAACATTAGACCTGATCCTTTTTAGGCATAGCCTGAGAGAGGTTTTGGATGCTCCAAATGTCATGAATATGATAAAAGATACAAAAGCAGCTCTAGAGGTATCATAGAAACTAAATTATTAATGATATTGCATTTTCTTACTTTGTCTCCTCTAGCCTTCTTAGCAGTGTGCTAATCTGTGAATTATCTTCCCTTGAACCTGGGAACAAGTTTCACTTCTTTTTTTTTTTTTTTGTACTTTTTCCAGGTTCGAATTTTGAAGGATTTCTACAACATGCTTTCAAATGTCAGGTTCTATTTTTGAGATGCTTTTATTTGCCTTGTCTATGTGTGGTTGAAATGTTAATTCCCCTGTTTCAAAACTGGTGGTCAATGGGTTGAAGATTAGTACATCATTAAGTATTGATAGAGTGGAAAACGTTTTATCAATAGGACATTTCTGTGCTTTTATAGTTTTTTTTTTTTTTTTGGCTTAATAATCATCATATGCATGGATGAAGAATAACTATCCCTTGATCAATTGTGTGATGACTTCTGTAGTGATTATCAGATAAATGCTTCCTTGAAGCTTCTGGACAGAAGTATATTTACATTGTAGCGTACTTTTCCGTTGTGTTCTTCTTCAGTTGGTGTTAGTTGTGTGTTCCTCTAATTACACAGTGTCTTTTCTAGCTACGAAACTGTTACAAGTTAAATTTTTCTTCCTTTGAAAATTATTCAAGTATTTTGTAACTATACTGAGGTGAGAAGTGATGAATATGCAAGGGGTTGGCCAGGATCCTTCCTTTTGGATTTGACGCTTAATACCATATACATGGGGAATGGCTCTCCAAGCAATTATGTATTCTTTGCATTTTGGATTTTGCGATTTCAGGCGCCTAGGAAATACTAATTGAAGATTTTTTTGGGG